TAATTAACAATTTTAAAGTTTAGTTTTCTTATCAACAGTACCTATCTCACTGTGATATTCATGAGAATTAAGTGAAATAATGGATACAGCATGCAATGTCCTCTGTTTGATGAAGATACATAGAGCTAGTGCTCAACTTACGACCATGATTGGTTCCGACAGACTGGTCGTAACATGATTTGGTCGTAAGTTGAGTAGGCTATATGTACAGTACTGTGAAATGATGTTATAAAAATCTTTAAGTCATATTTTATCATAATTTTCTTTCATTATTGTTATATATCATCATTTTCTTTGTTCGTTTTATGCCATTTGTATCATCTCTACACCATTTTGTTTCTTATTTTTACATTCGTCGGGTTTAAGTAAAACACTGCATTACCAGTACAACTGGTTTAATATTTGTAAAACATACAAAATTACAAAATACAGGTGCATACAAAAATACAAAATACAGGTGTAAAAAATACCATAGGAAACATTTTCCCAATTGCAAAACATATCAAAATATATAAACATGTATGAAACATTTTATTGGCCACTGGTGCTTGGCTGCGGATCGTTGATGTCGTCATCTGAGGCAGCAGTTGGGGTTACCGGAGTTGGTTTTTTCATAAACATGGTGAGCTTTGTCTGAATTGTATGTTTCTTTTTTTCTTCATAAATTTCATGATACGGACGAAATACATCGTGTGCCATTCGTTCAATCCTTGCAGATCATTCGATGTTTGGGTCCATTGCTTCGAAATGTATAAGAAGTTTATTGGGAGGGGTTTGATGAAAAATATTCAAGACACAAAACACAAATTGCTGTACCAAGTCTGGGATAACAGTTGAAATGGTGCATGTGGAGATGGTAGTGCTGCCGGAAGCTGGTCCGCACTGTTGTACGCCCAGCTGGGCAACGTTTGCGCTGCCAGACGCGGAGCAGTCGTGGCTAGCGATTGTGGTCGTAAAGTTGAATGGTCATAAGTTGCATAGGTCGTAAGTCGATCAATACCTGTAGCGGGTTTCTTAATAAATATGTTACTATTGTCATCATTATTCCATGTTGTTTAAAGTATTCAAGTATTCTTAACTTTTTTCTAGTCAATGATAACCCAGCTATGTGTAAAGTAATTCTTCATATTTTTAATGCAAAATAATAATATTATTGATCATAATTACTGTCATCCCATCTACTTGTGTACATTAATAAATTGCTTCTATTTTTTGTGATTACTACTTTATTAGAAAAGTCACCTCTGGAGCTTAGCACACAAGGAGGTTAAAAAGCAGAGGGGCAGTGAGGTTAAGGTTACTAAAATTTATTGCCACAGTAAAATGGGCCACAGTTAGAAGTGGAATTACATGGCCATAGCCCCTTACCTGCAGTTAAAAGTCAGGATGGCTGTCACAGAAACAGGAATCTTAGGGAAAGCTCTACCATATAAGCTGCAGCAATAGGGTCTCTTACTGGACTGCATAGGTAGCACACGTAAGGGATGTGTTTTCTTCTCGCTTTTATGTCAGACCAGCCATTCACAGACTTGCTTTACATTTTCAGGGATAAACAGACATGTATATGGGAATCATTTGTCCCCAATCACCAATATGCTTACTGACACTCTAACTAAGATGGCCTCTAGGCTTAATAATTTTATCCTCTTCAAGAAAGGAATATTGATGTATATACCAACTACCCCTGGAATTATTAGGTTTTCTGAAGCTAAAGAAAGTTATTTTCTGGTAGTCTTTTAATCTGTTCCTATAATGGCAGCCTACTAATAGGCTTTATGTATAATTAAGTTCTCTAAGCCTCAATATACCCATTTGTTAAATAGAGTAATTATCTCACTGGGATGTGATAAGGATTAAATAAAAGAATGCATGTAAAACTCTGCATGTGATGCCTACAGTATCATAAATACTCAATATATGTTAGCATTTAATATTTATTATGTTAGACAACTTGTTTAATCTTGTTACCTTCATGGGGACAAAATTTTAATCCTGTTTATTTTATGTATTTTACAAATTATATGTACAGTAAAATTAACTTTTTCTTTTGGTGTACAGTTTCATGTTTTTAAACACATGTATAGATTCCTAAAACTACCACCACAATAAGAATAAAGAATATTTCCATCATTTCTTACAACTCTCCTATTGTGTTCCTTTATAGTCACTCCTCTCCCCAACTCCCAAAGCTTAGCAACCACTGATCTGTTCTCCATCACTATAGTTTTGCCTTTTGGGGACTGTTATATAAATGCAGTTATATATTATGTAACCTTTTAAGCCTAGCTTCTTTCACTCAGTAGAATGCCTTTGAGATTCATCCAAGTTTTCTATTCATAATTTGTTATTTTTTTATTAATGCTTTCTTTAAGTTTGAGGACATTTCAAGTATATGGTTATTTATTTCTTTTATAAGAGTCTATCTGATAGGAATTCCTTAATAGAATCTTTATATTAAATAACACCTGAGACAGTTTAGTGTGGTACAACATTTAGTTTGGTACAGCATTATCAAGCAACTGTGTTCCTTTGACCACTAATGATATTCATAGAATAAAAGGGATCTGTAATCTAATAAATCTGAGAAATTACAAATTCTATAAAAGTAAATTGGATTGTTTACCTTATGATTTCACAGAATTTTTAACATATGCCATGAAATACAAAATTTCTAAACAGAGATACAGTTTTGCAAGTGCTTATCAAATTATCAAATTTAATGTTTTAATGCTGAGCAACTACCAAGTTGTATTGCACAGTTTGGGAAACATTAAACTAAAAATGAGAAATGTGAGCTTTTGAGTCTGGTTTTAAATCTTTGTCCTGGTAATCACTAGCTGCTTGACCCTGAACAAGTTTAATCTGCATTAATCTTAGATTCCTTATGTATAAAAGAGACTAATAGTACTTTCTTCATAAGGTTGTTGTGAGTATTACACAAAATTTACTTTATATATACACATAACACAATATATGTCACATGGTAAGCATTCAGTAAATTGTAGCTATTTATTACTAGGGACAATATATAGGAGCGTTTAGAAGCATAGGCTTTGGAGTCTGATAGATCTCAATTTTCCTTAAATGTTGCTGCTTAGCTGTTATTTAACCTCATTAATAAAATGAGGACATAACTTATGAGGGCTTAATGTGAAAATTAAATATTTAGTACAGTTAACAATGAGTGGTTCCCTGAGCACTTTCCTGAGGAAATAACTTTTTATTCAATCACTCAGTAATTTATAGAGAAATGCATCTATATTAACAACTAACTTCAGACCCAGAGTATTCTGATGCAGAATTATAATTAGAGCAGAAGAGGTTTTACTTCCTTTCAATGTTGGAGAGGACCTATTTCCAAAGTATATACAAAAAAGCCGGGGAGGTAAATTATTCCTTATTCTATGTTGGGATTAGTATTAGGGGATGAGAATAAATTCACCTACTTTTACACAAGAAAAAAATAGATATTTATGGCCTTTATTAATATTTATGGTATACAGTTAAGCTTAATATTTATGAAAAGATACTACATTCTCTTAAGTTGTGGCCTTCTTTTGCAAAACAAAGCCATAAACAAAGGTAAAATCTTTCATAGTATTTCATAAATAACTTAGAAATGCTTTTTAAATCTGGATAAATCTTATAAATAATATAAATATATGTTTTATAGAAATAATAAACATGCTTTTTAGTAGCACCATTAGTAGGTTGGTCACTTACCATATCAAATCACTGGTGCAAGACTATTACTCAAATCAACTGAGGTAAAATAAGTTAAAGTATTTTTACTTATTTTGCTTGTGACTCAAATATTTACATCATAATATTAAGGTAGAATAATAAATAGAAAATAGTACATGCATTTTACATACAGGTTTGGATAGAAACTTTGTTAAAAAGCCCCCCTTTTTGGTTATATAACCAGCATAAGATTAGCAAATGTCCCATCGATAATGTTTGGTGCCACACACAGTACAAAATGGAAGAGAAAAGGAAATCTTATAGAATGATTTCCAGGGAAAAATAGATTCTTCAGCTTATCAAATAGGATGTAAGTGAATTATGTAGGCGAGCATTATATACTCAAATCATTTGGTACAATAAAAGACTCTAGTTCTTTTTTAAAAATTAGAAAAGAATATTTTCAAATTTGGTATTTACTTTTTCTTGAAAATACTTCCTGCTAGCACACTTTTTCTTTTGTACACATACACTAAAGATATAAAGTATTGATTTGAGAAATTAAAAATGAAAAATTTTGAAATGATTTCATAATTTTCAGATAGCTATAATGTTTTAGAGTCATCTTAACCCCACTCTACTATCTAATTGTATTTTATAAATCAACAGACAAAAATATTGTTTAAAGTTAGTTGAATAACATATATAGAGCTGATTGGCCACATGTAAAATAGAAAAGGCAATTTATCTTTGATTAACTATTATTCTCTTACATATTAGCTTTCTTCACCTTTTTATCTTTACTCTCTTTCGACAGAAACTCCATTATCTAGAATTTTTATTTTACTCTCTGCCATTTTGGGCTTTCCACTGTCACGTTTCATTTTATATTAAAATTTGTCTATTTTCTCTCGTAGAGATTTTAGGCCCCACAAGCCAGTTATCCTGATATTCTAACATGACTAATATTCCAGTGATAGTGATTTAGAGTTTGGGAACTAACTAATATATATGAAGATGCCTTTTGAGAGTCAGTGAGCACATCCACCTCCCTCCAAGCTCACTGCCTTTCCCCAAACCTACCCCAACATCTTTAGACTGATCCATTGGTAAATTTAATAGTGAGAATTTACATCTAGAAGGTGGGATATAGTAGAAGAGTAGGTTAGTAAATGAAAAATTTTGAGCCAGGCAAGTTTTCTACTGTCTGTCAAATTATATGGTATACAACAAACCTGTTCTTTATAGGTTCACTCCTGTGACTTTGGGTCATGTTAAAGGACTTCTGAGTCTCATTAATGTTTTCTCCTGTGTAGCGAACCATTCATAATATTCTCTGGTGGGCTGTCCTATGACAAAGCTTGTAGAAGACCAAGTTTAACCATCATGCATGGAAAAGCAATTACAGTACTTGAAATGGATCATCCTATTGTTGAATTTCTAACTTTATGTGAAACACCCTATCCAAATGGTAAGTAACTAAAATGAAACTTAATGTTGAAAAATTCATTTTTGAAATGACAAGTTTCTAACAAAATTAAGGTTAAATATTTTCAGTTTTGGCAGCGGATGTCTACTATGGTATAACACTGTGAGCTACAGGTGTTGGAGCAGGTTCTGCAATTGTACCTACTTGACAAACTGGAAATAAGACAGATGTAGTACAGCAATGCTGGAATTTCAGGTTCTAATATCAGGTAAGTGCTTTAAACTTTGATTAGATGGTGGAAGCTGAGCTGGGAGGGTCCGATAAGGGTCCGGGATGAAATCACTTGGGGAAGCTGAGGTCTCTTAATAGCCTCTCTCAGACCAGCTCCATCCATTCCATCCCAAAGCCAATCAAAGTTAAAGCACTTACCTTATATTAGTAATCTGTAACTGTGGTGGTGCTGCATCTGTTTCACATCTAGCTTTGCTTCAGATGCAACTGCAGCACCTCTGATTACTATAGGATTGCAAATCTGTGGTTAATGACGTTTTAAAATTTTGAGAATAGTCAGAAGAGCCTTTGGGAAGAGAAATGCATATATAATTTTATTATCCTGACTATAAAGACTTTTTCTAAACTTATATACAATCCGTATAATGAAATCTAATAATGATGAAATAGTTTCATAATGTGGCCAAGTGTGGTGGCTCATGCCTGTAATCCTAGCACTTTGAGAGGCCAAGGCAGACAGATTGTTTGAGTCCAGGAGTTTGAGACCAGCCTGGGCAACATAGTGAGAGTCTCTCTCTAAAAAATATAATAAATAAATAAATAAATAAATAAAAATTTTAATGAAATCTAAAAAGTGAGAAATTTCCTCTCATAAAAAAGGAAATATGAGTTGTGTTACAACAACATAGTAAGTGTATATGTATTACTATATTTTTAAGAGGGAATATATAGATCTAGGGGAAAGAGCACGGGATTTGGGGACAGAATATGTGGGGTTATGATTTAGCTCTGCCACTTACTAGCTAGGTGACCTTGGGCAAGTAACTTTACATTTATGAATTTTATTTATGATTTGTAGAAAGAGAACCATAATATGGTCTCCACATGACTACTGGAAGGTTAAGTGAACATACTTCTTAAACTATAAAAATATATATGTTGTGAGTTCTATTATTAAATGTATTAACTTTAAATTATTTAGTCTCATATTAAAAAGATGGGATAAACTGATATTAAATAGTAATCAATGTAGCACTTTATTTCCAAAGTTACTAGAGACAGACAATTTATTTATGTTTTTAATTGTCAAATATTTATTGAATCATTCTATGGCCTCAGTACTACAGGAACTTGTTGGGCATACAGATAAAGTATAAAACTAATCTCTGATGTCAAATTGCATAAAATCTGGTCAGATGGGTGAGATTACTATGATTTGTTAAGTTTAAGTAATGTAACACCTTAAGTGCTGAGTTGTATGGTTCAGACTATAAGTAATGTATTAATTTATAAGCTAGTTAAATAGTCATGGTTTCATGCATAGTAATAGCAGTTTTTGGAAAGAGAGGAAAGTATGTCTGATTGTGAGACAGTAGAGTTGTTTAGAGAATAGAAAAAGAGAGAAATTGTCTTACAATATTTATGAATCACCAAAATATAAGTGTTCTTTGGAGTTATAAAAATGAATGATGAAGGAATAAATGAAGAAAGAACAGAGGACCAACAGCTGAGCTTAGGAAAATGCCTCCTCTGAAGAGCCTTGAGGAAGATGTGTGAGCAATAGAAATTGAGAATGTGTGGTCTGTGTGTATATAGGTTTCTGCACATTGGTAGAGATGTTAGGATAATTTCTAATAATGTTCAATAAAGCATAAATGCAATGTAACCATTCCTATTCACTTTCAAGCCATATATATAAATCTTTGTTTTTCAGAAAGTGGTAATGAGGATGGAATTTTTTATTTGTCAAAAGCTAGGAGATGTACTTTAACTCTATTCACAGTGCAGAAAACGTTTCTGACCATATATCCATCTCAAGCAGAACTTAGTCCAAACCAGGGCCCCAGAAACCTTCCTAATCTAGCTCCTTCATTATAGTTAACCTCTCAAAGTAAATCACATTCTTGAGTGCATCCCCAACTGTAATCTATGGGGTTATCATTGGTGCTGGATTGTGACCCAGGACTCTCAGGGCACAGATGATAGCTCTTGGAGAGCAGAGTGAGTAGTGCTGGTGAGGCCAACTTAGGAGATAAGAATTAGGGTAAAGCCATTTCTGTGGCCATATCTTCTGGTGAGGATAACTCTAATATTATTTCCCCCTTTTTGGGAGAAGGAAATATGGACCTGGCAGATTTGTACAAAAACCTTTCCCAGGAGGTTTACAGGGGCCAATGGGACAAGCAGAAACAAATGCCATTGAGGAGTCCTACTTGGAAGGGGATCAGTAAAGATTAGAGGCTACCACAAATGTGTTGGCTGCTCTATCTGGATGAATTCAGAACTCTACAAAGGAACATTGAAAGCTTGCCAGGGTTAAGGAGGACTAAAGAAAGGGCCTTGGGCTATGGCAGGTTAAATGCCACACCACAAATCTTTGCCAGTTGGGCTTCTCTTATTCCCTTGGTCTATTTCAACAGTCCAGAGGACTAGAGGTAGTAAGCACAGTGGAGATGTTGATAAATAGGCCAAATTATACAAATGTTTTCAGTAATTTGCCCTGTACAATGAGTTCCTCGAGCATTATGAACCTCTTGAGAGACTTCTCAGGTTGGTATAAATGTTACAACTGGGCCTTAACTACTGCCATGGCTGTGGCCTGTTGACAATAGAAGCCTTCAATGCAATGCTAAAACATGCAAACTGTAACTGGTACATACCAGTATCCTTGAGAGATGGGGAGCTGAGTAAAATATTGTTGCCATAACTCAAAGGGACTTTCTGGTAATGTGAAGTAGTCCATGAAGGCATGAAATGGTTTTCCAATATGGTGTTATAGACATGTTTCACACAGATACTAAGGTTGTGAACCATCTCAAGATATGCTTGCTGTCTGTATAAATATTGACCATTTTACCTTTGGCTGCAAGACATGTCTAGTAAGAGCATGCAGTTCTGCCTGTTGAGCAGACCTGACATGAGGAAAGATAAGGAAAGTAGCAGAATTAAGCAAGTTATATTGGATCGTGATAAGGGGAGGTGAGGATAGAAAGAGAACTGCATAGTTTTCTAGGCCTCTTATAATGTGAATTGAGTAAAGCCCCAACAGAGTGTGGAATGCAGACAGTGAGGGGGTCCCCATTACTATTTTCATTGTAGCTTTTACAAAAGAAGTGGACGCATCAACTTCTTTGAGACAAGGGGACTATAGTATCCTGTGGGTCCAGTTTGTGTCCAATTCTGATATTTTAATTCACCTAGTTGGTTAGATTTTAAAGGGGAAATCCCCTGAATGTTCCCAGAGCATCCCTAGTCTGGATGGGGTGGCAGGGGAGCGAGCTAGGTGACTTCATTAGGATTTAGTTATAACCAAATATTGGAGGATCTTAGGAGAATTCAGAATCTAATCCAGCTTACAGCTAAATGACAAGGAATTGTGGATAATGCACAGGGTTATAATGTAATAGTTGATCCCACTTTTGCTTTTCTTACAAGCATAACTTTTCCTGTCCACATTGATCAAATAAGAAATCATAAATATTAGAACCTCTTGAAGCTAGATGGACCAACCAAGTCAGGTGTTAGATTTTACTTACAGTCTTAAGGTTCTTGGGCCTACCAGGAAGTGACAGTTTTTACTTACTCACTGTAAAGCTGGGAACTCTTGAAGACAGGTATTTTACAAACATTCTTACATATAACATTTCAGTCTATATCTTGGTACTATAACCAATGTTCTTAATTGTATCCTACTTTCAAGAGAGATAAGATTTTTATTTAACGTATATAAATAAAAATAAGAATGGTCATGTATAGCTTCTGAATTTTAGAGGAATCAAGTAGGGAGAAAAAGCAAATGTTTCCCCCTTTGTTCAATAAAGGGTACTTTACCAAAATATTGCAAACTGTAGATAGCCTATGACAGAAAAATTCCTTGAATTTGGAAAACAAAACATTTAAGCCACAAAAACATTATCTTTATCAATTATTTAATTTCATTTAAATAATTTTGTTTGGCTGGCCAAGTGTAGTGGCTTATACTTGTAATACTAGCACTTTGGGAGGTTGAGTGGATAGCTTGAGCTCAGGATTTCAAGACCAGCCTGCACAACATAGCGAGACCTATCTCTACTAAAAATAAAAATATTAGCTGGGTGTAGTGGTACATACCTGTAGTCCTAGCTACTCCATAGGCTGACATAGGAGGATCAAGCTTGAGACCAGGAGATGGAAGCTGCAGCGAGCTATGACTGCACCACTGGACTCCAGCCTGGGCAACAGATTAAGACTCTGTTTAAAAAAATTTTTTTTTCTTTACTTTGATTAGCAATTTTAAACTCTAGCCCATTGCAAATACCTCCAGAGAAGAATTTAAAATAATAACTGGATGACAAAACCCTAGAACAATTATAGCCAAAGATCTGATAATAATTTCAATTGAAAAGGCAATTTAGACATTTTGTTGGCATACGGTCATTTAACTTAATAATCGCTATTATCTTACATATCTTGGCATATCAGAATTTTAGGAATCCTATACAATTTCACACATTTTAATAACACACATATATAACTTAAGGAAATTAAACACCATTCCTTATTTGACAGTACTTCCTGTATTATTTATCAAATAAGCCTAATCATTTAATATCTGTACAAGATGAGAGATAAACCATTTGAGGCTCTTCAGGGGGTCAATGTGGAAAATTGTAAAATTAATTTTAGGCCAAAAGACTTAATTAAAGATTTGGATCCTGGAGAAACCTACCAAAGATGTCAAAAAGTTCAAAAACTACTTTCTTGAATAGAATGATAGTTCACTGCCAAATAAATACTTACTCAACCAAAGTAAGAGTAACAATCAGAAGACT